TGTCGAATATTGTATATATATACATTAAATAAAACCCGATTTACTCGCGCGCGGCGATGTAACAAAATGGGTGTCCTCCCTGGGCAAAATCGACGTTCCGGACGCGCCGGTGCAGTCTATTTTGTCATCCGGGGTCGTTCGGACGACGTCGTCGACAATCGGGTCAAAAACGCGTTGAAATTCAAATTTCACATAATTTCGACCCGCGATCGATCGTCTCAAAAGATTTACTCGAGCCCTCGACAAATAACAGTGCAAGCGATGCGAATTGTGGCGATCGGACGCGACGACTCTCAGTTTCATCATTTTAAGTGCTAGAAGTCGATACCACACACACGAAGCTCCAAAGGAAGTAGGTCGAACTCCTAAAACGAGGCGAGTCACATTTCTAAGGCTCTAAGATAGTCGCCGGGAGACCCCTAAGGCTAGATCCTAAATCGTAAGAGAAAGACTAGACCTCACTAAAAATGAGGTCAACAGTTGCATGTTGGAGGAATGTCGGAAGTAGTGCGGCTTGAAGTGAGGAGGTCGGTCGACTAAAGAGATGGTCGGCCAAACTAAGCTGGAGGTTTAGTCGGCTGAAGTTCGGATTGTCGAGCGACTATTGGGCGACTGAAGTGAGATGATGGAGGTATCTTTGCTTGCTCGACTCTTGCTCCAATCAGGCGAGGATAGCGTAATTTTCTAGCTAACTCTTGGAGATTGAGATGAAATACGAATAAATAAATCGTAAATATAGAAAATGTTATTACATAAGCCCTTAACTGGACTTTGTTTTAAGATTTATGGATGTTATATTGGTTGATTTTTCATATGGTAATCAATGAATTGATTTCTAAGACCAGGAGAAGAGGCTTTTGGTTGCTCGCCTCGAAGAGGGGTCATTAGATTACTCGCTCAGGAAGAGAGTCTTTAGGTTGCACCCTCCCGGGGTGGCAAGTCTATAGGTAGCTCGTCCCAAGGGGAGGGGGGTGTTTAGGTTGTTCCCAACTGGGGGGCGGGGGGGGAGTCTTTAGGTTGCTTGCCCGGGAGGGAGTCTTTAGGTTGCTTGCCCGGGAGGGGAGTCTTTAAATTGTTTGCCCCGGAGGGGAGTCTTTAGGTTGTTCGTCATGGAATGGTGTCTTTGTTTGCTCTTCCCGGAGGAGAATTTTAAGATGAGGGAAGAGAGTAATTTTTTACTCATGAAAACAAATTTCTCTCTGCCCATCTTAAAGCCTCTCCTCTGTGACGAGCAAACAAAGACTCACCTCCAGGGCAACCAACCTAACGACTCATCTCCGGCGCGAGCAACCAAAAGACTCCCCTCTGAAGTGAGCAAATAAATGTCTCTCCTCCGGGACAAGCAAACAAATGATCCTCTCAAAAATCAATTCACTAAAAATCATTAGAGAACTCAACTAATAAAACGTCCATGAACCCTAAAACTAAGTTCAATTAAGGGCTTATAAAATAACATTTTTTGTATTTATGAGTTCTTTATTCTTATTTGAGCTCCGCCTCCAAAAAGTTAAGAACTCAGAGGCTTAAGTATAGCCAGAAAATTATGTTGTCCTCACTTGGCTGCGACAAGAGTCGAGCAAGCAAAAATACTTCCGCCATCTCACTTCAGTCACCGACAGTCGCTCAGCCACCCAAGCATCAGCCGACCAGGCCTCCTCCGGCCTCAGTCAGCCAACCATCCCCACAGTCGACCGATCAGATCTTTGGCCTTCTGACATTCCTTCGACATGCAACCCTAGGTTAGCCCTCAGTCGACAGGCCATTCCTTCAGTTGGTCGGCCAAACCTCCTCAGGCCACATTCGGTAGAACATCCCCTCAAATATATGGTCTCATTCGGTCAGTCGCTTCAATTCAGGCGACCCGATTTCTAGCCGTCGACCATTTATACTCGGACAAGCCACCTTCAGTTGGCCATTCCACCAACCACCCTCTGCAATTGGACCAGGATCCAGTGTCTCAAACTTTCCAAGAAGTTTTTTCGCCTGTAAACGCCTTGATGACATCCATTTTCCGCCTCCCAAACTCATGAACCTTATCCTCTCTAAAAAACAACTCCACCGGCAACTTACCAACATCCACCAGTCGTCCACCTCAATAGTCGGTTAGCCATCCCCATAGCTGACCGGCCATCCTTACAGTCGGTCAGCCATAAGAGTGCAGTCACCATTTTAGAGGGAATATACCTGCATATCACTCGACTTTACCCGTCGTCCTTCATTGGGCAATATACATATAATATAATATATTATATTATCTTTTATACAAAATATGTATCAATTGTACGAAAGATAATAATACTATAAACTAGGACATGTGCAGAGTCACGGTTCTAACTTGCAAGGCATGGTAAAGTACATGACAGATGTACTAAAGAGTCAATCGCATCTCGAAGCAATCCGACGACCCAAAGTAAGGCAAAAAAAAGCATGTATTGTAATGTTTCTCCCTCTTTTTTCTATAAATATGAGAACCTATAAAATGTAAAGGGGGGCTCTCCCCTAGTTTAATCTCTAGGTTTTCTCTCAACCCCCATGTAGGGAGATCTTTCTCCCCTCTCTTGTAACCCACTAATTGTGTGAAATAAAAGGAGCTAAACAATCCGGGAACACCCCTCTTTGCCCCCAAGGACAACCCTCTCTTTCAATGTTCTACTTTTTCCGTTCTTCTCCCTAGGCAGCCGTGTTCCATCCCTGGGGCACGAACGAATCAAAGGACCGATTTGGGTTCGACATATATACATACCACATAATTCTTATGTATTTATATATCTAACACCTATGATTTGATATTTACGTTTATAACATTTTGATGTCAACAAAAAGAAGTGGTTTTCAGGAAAGAAGTAGGAAGAATTTTTTTTCCAGCAAAAGAATTTGTCAGCAATCAATTTTCTTTCTAAGCTTAATGTTTAGCAATAAGATTGTAGAATCTTGATTCCTGGCTTTCATTTGTCTCACCATTCATCATATTTCCATATGTCTCACTAAGAGAACAAGGACCGCATTCACTATCCCTTCTAATATTAATAGGTATTTATTTGATTCATTTTGAAAAATAAAAGTTGGATAACTATTAAAAAAAATTTTACCAAATTGTTCAATAAATATAATTTTTTAGCTTTTTCAGCAGAAGTATCAAAGCATTTACCACATGTTGCCCCCTTTTTTTCAGAAATCATTTAGCAGATCAAAAAAATAATTGCGATTACCATATTGATGACTTCGCTAAAACAATTAGTTCGAGAAAGTCTAGCGTATTTCCATCTATTTTGTCCGTGTTTCATTTTACATCAAGATTTTTTAGATTACCTCAATTACTGATAAAAAGATTATCAACAAAATCTTAAACCAATGCTATGGTTTATAAGCATAAGGGGGAAAAACAACAACAATCAAAATGATTCAAAACATAAGGTTTTTCCAACTCCCAGCCAAATTACGTATCCCAGAATCCGCCCTATGCCCTCTAAATAGTCCCGGTAAAGCAAGGCTAGAAAAATTCAAGAAAAAATACAGCAATTTTGTAATCTGAGAATAAAGAGTAAGGAAACGAATAAACCTATCAACGCAGTTTTCGGTGGAGGGTTCATTGGCCTCCGCAATCCGATGCTCCATGTGAAACCTATCGTTATCCACCAACTTCGCCTCGGTCGCTCAGTGGGCGAGGACAAAATGCGAAAGGCAGATATTAAGCTTGTTTCTAGTGCTTTTTTTTCAACCACTGTGCCACGCTTCTTTCTAGTGCTACTCACCTATTTCCTCTAAGATGCCGGGTCTCCTTCGTTGTTGTTCGACCTACCAGTACAAAACTCCGATTTTTGTATATTAGAAATTTAAAATCTCAAAATAATTTAGAAGTTTATTTTATATAAAAATAAAAAATACATTCACTTGTTAAGATATATACCTAAAAATTTCATTTAAAAATGTACATATGAAATATGCTACATGAATCTCGAGGAGATCCAATGGTTCGCACAAAGAAAGCAGCAAAATATCAAGCATTTCAATATCATTCCAGTCAGCTGAATTTTGTGTTGATCGAACGTTAATTGGACTGAACTTATACTAAAAACAACAACAGACACAAGGGCATTCGTAAGATCAACAGACGTCTGGTGATGGCTTCTTTTATATAGATTCCTCGATCGAGGGTAGGTTGTCGATCATATTACAGTAATGCACTCTCTGTCTGATGGAATTCTTCCAAAGGATAATAAGTATTCACAATGGATCCCCTCGGAAAAGGTGACCAAAGATAATTCAGTCGACTGAATAATTTTTTAGTTGACCAAACCAATACCACATGTGGGAACCAAGCAAATACGAAACGATACCTAGGGCAATTATTGATAAGGAACTGTGTCAACAGCAGTTGCAAGGTCAAAATATGCCCAATTCGGTTACAAATATGTCAAGGTGTAATGACTCATAAATAATTGCAATGTTCCCATCAAAAAAGGGAAAATCATGCAATTTATTGGACCCCTTCTATGACTTATAAATAGGAGAGTCATTGTTATAGAAAGAACTACTAGAATTACTCCTAGAGAATTAGTGTGATTTGTGACTTATTCTTTTTTGTCTTTTATTGTCACTTATTCCTCTCATCCGACCAACGTTTTATTCCTTAGGTGTGATCTGAAAGACATTTTGGGATTTAACATCCTGAAATATGCGGTGAGAAGGATTCATATTTTTAACAAGAAGAGGAGCACGTAAGGGAAAAGAAACTCACCAAGGAAAACCCTCCAATATGGAACCCATCATGGAACTCGTGCAACAAGAATTTAGGAGCTCCAAGATTGGATGGCAGGACAGATCGCGGAACTAACTCGCATGGTGCTTGTAGGGATGAGTCTGCTCCACAATGAAATCTTCAAGCACCTGAACCATGCGGTAACCAGGCCACTAAAGAAGCCAAACTCATGGAAGAATCTCTGTACCAAGACAAAGATGGAACCATGTCGAGGAATAGGCTGCAAGAGAGGCAAATAGAAGTGTATCGTCAATTGGAGAATGTTTTATCCCAGTAAATTATTGATGTAAAGCCAACGAAGAAGTTTAAGGTTCCTACGTTGGAGTCATACAAGTGCTGGAGCGATCTGGTCAATTATATTGCTTCCTTTGAATCAGTTATATGCCTTCCCAAAGTTTCTGACACATTAAAATGTCGAATATTGTACACCATGCTAAGAGATTCATCCCTTAAGTGGTTTAGAGCACTCCCCATCGGAATTATTATTTCATTTGGAGATTTCAAAGAGTTATTTATACTTAGTTCACTAACATGCAAAAGCCTACAAAGGATTCAGAATCCTTGTGGCATGTGAAGCAGGGACCGAACGAGAGCCTAAGGGTGTATGTTAAAAGGTTCATGAAGGAGATGCTCAGGATAAAGAATCTAGATATAGTGATTGCAAAGGCCGCATTTGCATAAGGGCTGAAGAGCCCTCAGTTCAAGTGTTTCCTAGATTTACGAAAACCTGAAATTTTGGCTAAACTCCTTGAGTTGGCCAATGAACACATTGCAGCAGAGGAGTACATGAACTCACCTATCTCAAAAAGAAAAAATTCTAACCAACAGTCTGGTAAGAAAGGCTAACAAGACAATGGGAGGAGGGAAAAGGAAGGCCCCTATCCTAAAAAAGAAAGAGCAGGGTTTATCGTTAGGGCTAGGGAGGCCAACTGAATTACACGAAGATACAATCAATCAAATGATCGCTCTACTAGCAATCAAGGAACCTATGAAGCTAAAGGCCTTGATAGTAAAACTAGTGGAAGATATTTAAGATAAGGAATGCTTTCTAAAGGCCTCACCGATGAAAAATGGAGCCTTCCATCGAAACACCAACAAGTAATGTAGGTACCACAATGATTAGGGCCACAATACAAACAAGTGCAGACACCTTCAAAGTTTGGTTAAAGAGTCGATACAGTTTGGGAAGATCAAAGACCTTGTGACTCCTAAAACATAAGTTTGGTGGCAGGGGAAGGCACCTATGGAAAATGACTTGGATGGACATGTCCGAGCAAATGTTATTTATGTTACAGGGATAGTGCCAACAATCTAGGAGAAGATTTAGCCTGAAGATCCAACCAAAAGAGGAGCAGATTAGAAAAAAATTGTGTTGTTAATTTTGTCCCAAGGAGGAAGTCCCATCCTCTGATCATTTTCACTGACACAAACCTGCCCCCTGTAAGGAATCCTTACAACAATGTCATTGTCGTTATGGTGATGATTAGTAACTACCGAGTAGGTAGTATTCTGGTAGACATATGTAGCCTGGGAAACATTCTTTTAAAAGGCTCTTTTCACAAGATGAACATGTCAACCAATCATTTGGTTGCATCAACTAACCCTCTATATGGGTTTTTCTGTAAAAAGGAAGGAGGCACTTAGAATAATCGAATTATTTATCCCCTACGGAGAAGGAGCCAAACATATCACTAGTATGGAACATTTATTGGTTGTTAATGCACCACCAACGTATAATATGATATTTGGTTACCTATTCCTTAATAATTTCAGGGTTGTGGTGTCTACGTACCACATAGCGATAAAATTTCCTTGTGACAGGGATATTGTGATTGTGCATAAGAACCTCGAGCAGTGTCAAACAAGTTACCTAATGTGGGACTTTTATGTATGTTATAAATTTTTTTTAACATCACAACACAAACGATAGCTATACTAAAAAATATGTAGATTAATCACCATAAAATTTAATTCAGTACAATAACTTCTCTCTTTTAAAATATTTAAAGCTGCCACTCCTAGTGATTTAAGGTGTACCTTCAATTTCAAATCATCACTAGGATGTAAACCCAAGTATATGTATCACTCAAGTAATAAAGGGAACTAGTGAAGTCCTAAGTATTGATCCCACTAAGAGGTCAAAATTCTTTTGGTAAAAACGCAAAGACACAATATTTAAACTATAAAAAACTTAAGTAAATAGGTCAAAATTTGTTTAATGCCACTAAAGAAACTATGTTTATCATACTAATCTCTAAAATTTAAAGTTAAATTTACTAAAACTAAATAAGGTTTTGTGACGAAAAGTTCAAATTTAAGAAAGTACCAATCCCCTTTGTCGGCACTATTTTTGGGTCGTAGAGTTGCCCGTTAGAAGCTGTCGACCGCCAGAATCGAAATCCCGTCGCCCGCTTCGGAAAGACATTTAATTTACATATATTATATAAGTTTAGAAAAATATGAAATCAAATTTACCACATATTTTTCATAATTTAAATGAAAGAGCACTATACTTCAAACTCTGTATCTATCCTGAAGGATAAATATAAAATATGAGGATGAGGCTCGATCAAATAAACTAAGAAATATAAGACATCCGTTTGGACTGCAAACCATTTTATTTGCCGACAAGTTTCTCTATTTAATATGAAGAATTAAATAGATTTTATATTAATCTTGGTTTGGAAAAACTTCCTATAAGGGCAAGCCCATATAGTTAATTACATCTTAGATAATCGAAGTTACCTAAGAAGACTCTCTATAAAAATCAGAAAATGTTATCTTCAAATAGGTTAAAAGGATAGGAAATTTCAACGATATCAGATAAAGATGTGTGAAAGGGGAATAGTTCAAATTTGGAATGTTTTATTGTAGAATCCAAAGGAGGAAAAACTAGGGGATGTCATAGATCCGGAAAAGAACCTCAGTGACTTCCCAGTCTATCTTATTGTTTGGTTTCAGTTTTGGTGAGAAATTATTTAAGTGTTTCATCTTGCAAATTTTATTAGTTAGAGCTTACATCTATGTGAAACAATCACACAAATAACCTGGAAGATATGAGGATTTAGGTCATAACGAACGACAACCATGAAATCCTAAGACAAATTAGGGCTTAGATTGTACAAAAGAGCTATACAAAAGCCTAAAGAAAAGGTTGAGGATTTATGTTGCATAAGCAAACAACCTCGAAGTCCAATGACTTGTTGTTTAATTCTAAGGAAAGATATGTTGTTGTAAATCCTCTTGCTGCTGTAAATGATCGTGCTGCCCATAGTGCTAGCTCCAAGCTCTTTGTCATGACGAGTTTAAGTTTTTTAATGTGTCAGGATATGATGTTAAATCAGATGTCTATATGTTTATGATCATTTAGATATTATGGGGCATATTAAAGTTGATTAGAGCGACACCGGTTAGGATCCTACGGTTCTCTCATTCCAGTATCACTATTTTCTATTAGATTCACTTAGTCCCAATGAATTTGCTAAACTCAACTGTTGACCTCACTTTTGGTTGAGGTCTAGAAACTTCTTTAGTAGCCTAGGTCTAGCCATAGGACTTTCCTATTGACTAGTCTTAGAAAACTAGAAAAGGTACCCTCTCGACTTGAAGTTCCACATATTGGTCCTAACCTCTAATATTTAGAAGGTAAGATCATTATGGGAAAGCTCAAGAAGAGTTCCTATAAGGTTACTTGGCCTTAGAATTGACCCTGGGTGTTGATTCGGAGCTAAGGTATACTTTACCCTCACCATATCTTCACAATACCCTCACAATACCTTGGCTAAGACCAATATATGAAGAACCAAAATGGGATTTAATTGGTCTATGAATCATTTAAAATGATTCTCTATCCAATTCTACTTGAAATGCCCAACTTGGTCTTTTGCCCTTAGGCACCTCCAAATTACATAACTGCCCTTGAGATTCAAATTTGGCCAAAATTCCCAAATTTTTGCCAAAATACCCAAATTGATCAAAAATTATTCCAAACACTTTCAATATATCCACATTTGCCAAAATTGAC